GGCGCGGTGGCTCAAGCCTGTAATCCCAGCACTTTGGGAGGCCGAGGCGGGTGGATCACGAGGTCGAGAGATTGAGACCATCCTGGTCAACATGGTGAAACCTCGTCTCTACTAAAAATACAAAAAATTAGCTGGGCATGGTGGCACGTGCCTGTAATCCCAGCTACTCAGGAGGCTGAGGCAGGAGAATTGCCTGAACCCAGGAGGCGGAGGTTTCGGTGAGCAGAGATCGCGCCATTGCACTCCAGCCTGGGTAACAAGAGGGAAACTCCGTCTCAAAAAAAAAAAAAAAAAAAAAAGTTGTGCAGAAACTTCTGTGTGTTTTGAAGAATTTTGTCTGATACAAGTTTTTCCTATTTGATTTTTCACCTAAAATAGCATTTCTTCATGGACAGTTTTGAGATCACGGAGTACTATCAGTGCATTAAGAAATGACTTTGGCTGGACATGGTGGCTCATTGCACTCCAGTCTGGGCGATCTTGTCTGTCTCAAAAATAAAAAAAGTCCAGGCACAGTGGCTCACACCTGAAATCCCAGCACTTTGGGAGGCCAAGGTGGGTGGATCATGAGGTTAGGAGTTCAAGACCAGCCTGGCCAAGATGGTGAAACCCTGTCTCTCCTAAAACTACAAAAATTAGCCAGGCATCATGGCAGGTGCCTGTAATCCCAGCTACTTGCGAGGCTGAGGCAGGAGAATCTCTTGAACCCGGGCAACAGAGGTTGCCGTGAGCCGAGATCGTTGCCCTCCAGCCTGGGCAACAGAGACTCCGACTCAAAAAAAAAAAAAAAAAAAAAAAAAAAAAGAAAAAAAAGAAATGACTTTTAATTTCTGTTGCATGAGAATGAAGTTCTATTTCAAAACATGATGCAGAGAAATCTGAGGGTTCTCAGGGAATACTGGGCTCCAGGCTGCTTTCTCAGTCACTTCAGTAAAAAGCCTTTCACACACATTTGCCATGAATATGCATATATATAAATTTATATTTGTGTGTTAGGTACTAACGTATTGTGTGCTCCATGCAACATGTGATAAACAGAAAATCTTTCCAGGTGAGAAAGGAAATCAGAATAGAGCCGGGCATGGTGGTTCTACTACACAGTGGCTCACACCTGTAATCCCAGCACTGTGGGAGGCCAAGGCAGGTGGATCACCTGAGATCAGGAGTTTGAGACCAGCCTGGCCAATATGGAGAAACCCTGTCTCTACTAAAACTACAAAATTAGATAGGCGTGGTGGTGCATGCCTTTAGAGCCAGCTACTCGGGAGGCTGAGGCAGGAGAATCGCTTGAACCTAGGAGGCAGAGGTGCAGTGAGCCAAGATCACGCCATTGCACTCCAGCCTGGGCAACAAGAGTGAAACTCTGTCTCAAAAATAAAAAGAAAAAGAAAAGAAGAATAGAAGTTTCAATCTTTTTTTCTGCTCTTGGAAGGATTATCTGGGTAAACATGGTCTATGTTAGAAAATATCAATTTAAGAAGGTTTGACTTAAATATTTTGCATTTGAAAATGAAGAATGTTTGCAAACAGGCAGAGAGGAGCAGTTCCTTGATCTTATAACTTCCAATTTAAGAAATGATAAAATGTCCTTTAGTTACGGATTTTTATTAACTCCTGTATTAAAGTTCTCCACAGGAATAGACCAACGGGGGTTGGGGGTGTCTGTGTGGGAACCTACACCCAGTACCTGTTTCTCTCTACATTGGGAGAGAGAGGGAGATTCGTCAGATTTATGTTGAGGAATTGGCTCATGCACTTGGGCAGGCTTGACAAGCCCAAAATCTGACGGGGTGACCAGCAGGCTGGAGACTCGGGGAAGACTGCGGTTCCAGTCCAGAGGGCACCTGCTGGCAGAGCTCCTTCTCACTGGGGGCGGAAGAGGGGGTGGGGCATGAGGAGGAGGTCCGTCTTCGATCCGTGAAGGCCGTCAGCTGGTTCGATGGGTCCCACCCACATTGTGGAGGGTAATCTGCTTTATGCGACGTTCACTTAGTTATAAATGTTAATCAAATTCAAAAAAACACGGTCACAGAAACATGTAGAATAATGGTCCACCAAATACCTGGGCACCATGGCCCAGCCACGTTGACAAAATCAACTATCGTGACTCCACGTGAGAGATGTTCAACTCTGGCAGAACATTACAGACTATACAAAGCCCGCCGATGGGTGTTTTCGTGGGAGGTAGAAGCTAAGAAATTAGAAAGTGCTGAGTTGGATAAATGTAACACATTTTGGTTCAGAATACAAGGCGAGCGGGTGACAGCACCATCTCTGGGAAGAGTAAGTTGGCACATCTGTCAGTGGTTCAGTGGATTTACCCTTTGACCTGTGTGTGTGTCAAACCTAGGAATTCTATTCAAGGATGCTCAGTGCAGTGTTAATTATAAGACAAAAAACAAAAACAAAAACAAAAACCCGTAAAAACTAGAAAAGCAGGTTGGGCAAGATGGCTCACGCCTGCAATCCCAGCACTTTGGGAGGCTGACGTGGGCTGATCACCACTTGAGGCCAGGGGTTTGAGACCAGCCTAGGCAACATGGTGAAACCCCATCTCTACTAAAAATACCAAAGTTAGCTGGAGGTGGTAAGGGGTGCCTGTAATTCCAGCTACTTGGGAGGCTGAGGCAGGAGAATCGCTCAAACTCGGGAGGTGGAGGTTGCAGTGAGCTCAAAAATAACAACAACAAAACAACTATACACACACACACACACACACACACACACACACACACACACCCCCATAATTTATTAAATTATAGCATTTTTCCTTTTTTGGGGGGGGGGATAGAGTCTCACTCTGTCGCCAGGTTGGAGTGCAGTGGCGCAATCTTGGCTCACTGCAACTCCGCCTCCCGGGCTCAGGTCATGCTCCTGCCTCAGCCTCCAAAGTAGCTGGGATTACATGTGTCTGCCATAACACCGGGCTCATTTCTGTATTTTTAGTAGAGACGGGGTTTCACCATGTTGTCCAGGCTGGTCTTGAACTCCTGACCTCACGTGATCTGCCCACATCTGCCTCCCAAAGTGCTGGGATTACAGGGGTGAGCCACCATGGCCAGCTGGTACTGATTTTAGTGGAACATTCTGTAGTTACTTATTTAGGAGAAGAGCTATATACACCATCTATAAGAGAGGCAATTTAATAAATATGGTACATATTTCAGTGAAATATTTTGTAGTTATTTCTTTAAAAGGAGAGCTATATACACTGATATAAAAATTATTCTGGAGAAATTAGTAGGTGGTGTATATACTTGTATCTACATGTATGTGTCCTCTATGTATGATTCTTTCCTGTTTGAAAAGACAATACATATGTAAGAGATTCTGGACATGGAAATTCCCCATCAGAAGCTGCTAGCCACACTTCACTCGGAAAGACTGATCGCTACTTTTCGCTTCTGAACTGCTTGAAATTCTTCCCAGAAGTGTGCGTGTGCACGGTGTCCATGCCTCTGGTAATGGCAGGAGTTGCCGTTTTGACTGTAATGGAACAGAAGTGGAGCCAGGAGCCCACCATGAGGAGCGTGCAGGACAAGCCAGGCATGACAGCTCACATAGGGATCAATTTGACTGGACGGAGGAGCACCCGTACACCTGGCGAAGCTTTATTTTCAGGGGCCAGGAGGGTGTTTCCAGCAGAGACTGGCGTCTGAGCCTCAGCGGACTCAGTGGTGAAGAGCTCCCTCCATGTGGCTGGCACCATCCAATCTGCTGGGACCCAGAGAGAACAAAAATGGAGAAACGGTGAATGGGTCCGTCTTCTTCCTCTCCTTCCCTTGGAGACTCCAGGCTCCCTGGCCTTGGGACTCCTGGACCTATGCCAGTGCCATCCTCTGCCCCAGGATCTCGGGCCTTTGGCCTTGGCCTGAGTGTTACACCCTTAGCTTCCCTGGTTCTGAGGCCTTTGGAGTTGGACTGAACCATGCTACCAGCACCCCAGGGTCTCCAGCTAGCCGTGGCTTGTCCTGGAACTCCTCAGCCTCCATGATCTCACGGGCCAATTCCCCATTTCCTCTCTTCTGTCTGTCTATGTATCTACCTATCTACCATCATCTGCCTGTCTATCATTCATCTCTTTACCTCTACCTGTCCTCTACCTGAGGCAGGAGAATAAGGAACGAGGATAACCAAGGGTTAGAACAGCAGGTGCAGCTGGTTCCAGGTGAGAGTGGCCAGCACACAGGCCACAGCCTCACTCCTGCGGTGACGGAACAGAAGCCTGGGCAACATGGCGAAAACCTGCCTCTACAAATACTTCTTAAAATTGGCTGGACATAGTGGCCCGCACTTATAGTCTCAGTTACTCAGGAGGCTGAGGAGGCAGGATCACTTGAGCCCAGGTGATTGAGACTGTAGTAAGCCATGATTGCACCACTGCACTCTAGGCTGGGCAACAGAGTGAGACCCCATCTCAAAAATAAAAATAAATAAAAAGAAAAAGAAAGATGGCTTGGTTAACATGTATGCCAAGACAGCAGGCATGGCCTGGAAGTGTCCCAAGCCGCAGGGCATCTTGCTTCCGGTGAGGATGAAGCTATTTTGTGGCAAGGGAGGACTCTGCGACTTCAGGAGACCCCCCACCCCGGCAGACAAAAGCCGCCTGCTCCCCAGCCCGGCCACCCAGCAGCGCTCTGGCGAGCCCAGTTCCGGTACTTTTGAGCCTGCCGTTCCCTACTCACATGCACACTATGGCTTTGTGCCTGCTATTGAGTGTCCCACGGCCCCGGACCACAGGGTCAACGCCAGAAAGAAGCAGGGACTCCGCTCTCGTCCACACGCCCTCGCCCCTGCGTCATTCCCTAGTGCTCACGCAGCCCCCCACCTCCGTAAACCTTTTCTAGCTCCCTGGCAGACTTGTGCCGCTGTTTGCCAGATCAAACCCTGGTGACCTGAGTGGCCTGTCCCCAGCAAAGGCCACTTGCCCCCGTGCACCTTCCCCTAGGCCAAACCAAGTGACATCCCACAAGTTGGGAAAGGCATGGGTTGAACTTTAACCATTAGGCTCAGGGGTGGGGATGAGTTTCTACAAAAAGTGGGGGGTACATGCCAGCCCTCCGTGGTCCTGATCAAAGTGAGAGCAGACAGCAGGGAACATCACCCTCTTGGGATCGCAGGCTGTGGGCACAGACCCGAGATGCTCAGGAGGAATGCTTGCAAGACATCAGCTTTCTCCTTCATGGTCAAGCAGACGTGGGGTCCTCTGTGCAGTCGTCCAGTGAGGTCAGAGCAATGGTGTTCTCAGCAGTCCTGTGCACAGAGAACCAGCAATAACACCTGTAAGTAGAGCCTCCCAAGATGTGACTGGATGCTTGTCTTGGCTGATGGGGTCTTTCGAGATGAGAGACAGGGGAGAGTCCCGAGCCAGTAGGTTCAGATTTCCATTCCGTTTCTCTTGTATTTGGTGACCTTGGGTGAATCACTTAGACTCCATGTCAGGGGTCCTGGGGAGGGTGAGATTCCGGGGGCAGGCGGGTAGCCCGTGTTCCCGAAAGACGCACTGGCGTTGACTCGCCATCCAGGCCCGGCAGAATGGGCTGCACAAGCCAGGCACGGTCACTCCTAAACACTTCAGCGAAGGACGCGCTCAAGCAAACCTGGAACCAGTAAACCGCTCAGCCAGCTCTGCCAGGAAGCTGCCCCGGCCAGGCCCTCCTCCTCCATGGCCAGGCCTTGTGACCTTGGACGTAGTGCTTCCTCTTTCTGGGTCTCAGATGCTCCCTCTGTAGAATCAGAGCCTGCTTTGGCAGCTGCCAGGTTCTCTCCTAACTCACGTCTTCCACACGTTCCGTGTTTGGGCCATTGAAAGAGCACGAGCTGGCCAGGTGCAGTGGCTCACACCTGTAATCCCAGCACTTTGGGAGGCTGAGGCAGGCAGATCAACTGAGGACAGGAGTCTGAGACCAGCCTGACCAACGTGGAGAAACGCTGTCTCTACTAAAAATACAAAATTAGCTGAGCATGGTGGCGAATGCCTGTAATCCCAGCTACTTTGGAGACTGAGGCAGGAGAATTGCTGGAACCCAGGAGGCAGAAGTTGCAGTAAGCCAAGATCACGCCTCTGCACTCCAGCCTGGGCGACAGGAACTCCACCTCAAAAAAAAAAAAAAAGAAAAAGAAAGATCATGGACTTCAGAGCCGGACCCCAGGATGCAGTGCTGCTGACGCTTGACAACGTGGGACCTGGGCCGGTCTTCACCCCAGAGCCTCCAAGTCCGCCTCCTGAGATGGGGATGGCCACTTTCTCTCCCAGGGCCATGGAAGGATGACACGATGCCTGTAGAAAGCTGGGCCCACCCCAGACTCTCAGTGAGCAGCACTCATTCCTTCTGTGGGGGTCCACACCTGGGGACCAACATACAGAAACCCCGTCTCTGCTAAAAACACAAAGACCAGCCAGGCCTGGTGGTGGGCTCCTTTAATCCCAGCTACTCAGAGGCTGAGGCAGGAGAATCACTTGAACCCAGGAGGTGGAGGTTGCAGTGGGCCAAGATCACACCACTGCACTCCAGCCTGGGTGACAGAACGAGACTCTGTCTCAAAAAAAAAGAGGGTAACATTTGTCTCACCTCCAACCAGAGCCCTAGTTGAATTAGCACAGAACCCACCTTGCTGTGCAGCGGGGTTGGCTGTGTACAGATGGGAAGCCTACTCAGCATTCCGGTGGTGTCACCTCCGTGTGGGTGGCGATGAGCACCATCCTTTTGTTGGGTGAGAGACACTGAGTTCAACACACGTGTTTCATTGTTGGTGGGCCTGTTGGTGCAGCTCAGCAAACAGAACCTAAAAATACCCACTCTTCCTGCATCCTGAGTCTCTGTGAGCCAGGGAAGCTGGAGTTTCCGGCCTAAATAAGGGCCTCCTCTGTGGCGGTCGTGGCTCTTGGGTTCTGTTCACACCCAGGTCTGTGCAGCCGGGTTAAACGCCCCCTGCCCGGCAGGGAGAACCGGAGGCAGCAGCCGTGGGAGGGTGGGACAGTGCACTCATTCGTGCTTCCTGTTGGATGGAAGGGAGACTTCTGGGGGCTTAGAGGGGCTGTGTTTTTCCTCTTTTCTTTCTTTTTTTTTTTTTTTTTTTTTTTTTTGAGATGGAGTTTCGCTGTTGTTGCCCAGGCTGGAGTGCAATAGCGAGATCTCGGCTCACCGCAACCTCTGTCTCCTGGGTTCAAGCGATTCTCCTGCCTCAGCCTCCCAGGTAGCTGGGATTACAGGCATGCGTCATCACACCCGGCTAATTGTATTATTTTTAGTAGAGACAGGGTTCCTCCATGTTGGTCAGGCTGGTCTCGAACTTTCAGCCTCAGGTGATCTGCCTGCCTTGGCCTCCCAAAGTGCTAGGATTACAGGCATGAGCCACCTCACCCAGCTATTTTTTTTTTCTTGTTTTTGAGATGGAGTCTCACTCTGGTGGCCCAGGCTGGAGTGCAACAGCACAATCTCGGCTCAATGTAACCTCCACCTCCCGGGTTCAAGTGCTTCTCCTGCCCCAGCTTCCCGAGTAGCTGGGACTACAGGCACGCGCCACCACACCTGGCTATTTTTTCAGTTATTGTAGGGATGGGGTTTCACCATGTTGGCCAGGCTGGTCTTGAACTCCTGACCTCAGGTGATCCACCCGCCTCAGCCTCCCAAAGTGCTGGGACTACAGGCCTGAGCCACCATCTGGCCAGGGCTATACATCTTTATCCTTGTTTTCTAGACTTCTGCTGGACACACCCTTTGACCCAGCAATTCTGTGGTTAGGAGTTGGTAAGAAGAAAGCAATCCAGATTGGAATACAGGGAAAGAACAGCAACTTACCACTGCTTTGTTTAATTGCAAGAAGTTGGAAATAACCTAAGTATCATCACCAAATAATGGATTTTAAAAATTGTGTCATAACTCACACTGCAGCACTGTTTACAATAACAAAGACCCGAACCAACCCAAATGCCCATCAATGATAGACTGGATAAAGAAAGTGTGGCACATATACACCATGGAACACTGCAGCCATTAAAAAAGATGAGTTCATGTCCTTTGTAGGGACGTGGATGAACCCAGAAAGCATCATTCTCAGCAAACTGACACAAGAACAGAAAACCAAACACCTCATGTTCTCACTCATAGGTGGGTTTTGAACAATGAGAACACATAAGCACAGGGAGGGGAACATCACACCTTGGGGTCTGTTGGTGGGTGGGGGGCTAGGGGAGGGACAGCGGGGGGTGGGGAGGTTGGGAAGGGATAACTTTGGGAAAAATGGCTGATGCAGGTGACGGGGGGATGAAGGCAGCAAACCACCATGGCACGTGTGTACCTAGGCAAGATCTGCACATGTACCCCAGAACTTAACGTACAATTAACAAATTTGTGTCATAACCATACAATGGAAACATACCATTAAAAATAATTGTATATATATTTTTTTATTGACAAAATGAGTTCACAGCGTTAAATGAAAAAAAGCAACTTACAAGATAATAAACACAGTAAAATCCTTGTTCATTATAATAAAAAATCCTGGCCGGGTGTGGTGGTGCACACCTCTAATCCCAGCACTTTGAGAGACTCCTGCCTCACTTTGAGAGAGGCAGGAGAATCATTTGAGGCCAGGAGTTTGAGACCAGCCTGGGCAACATGGTGAGATCTTTTCTCCACAAAAAATGAAAAGCTTAGCCAGGCATGGTGGTGTTCACATGTAGTCCCAGCTGTTGGGACGCTGAAGCGGGAAGATCACTTCAGCCTGGGTGGCACAGTGAGACCCGATCTCAAAAAAAGACTATTCCATTTAATCCCTTTTAAGAACTGGGTTAGCTCAGGCCTCTGAAGGCAAGGACAGGAGCGGAGGGCACGCCAGGCCTCTGGGGTGACATCCCCAAGCAGGGAGACTCTGTATTCAGAAGCTGCTCCAAGATTCCCAGAGCAGGATATCCCAAGGAGCCTTCAGACCCTGTCTCGGAAGAAAAAAAAAATCCCCATCTCTCTTCACACCAGGCGATTCCACAGAGACCAAGCAGGGCAGACACCACTGGTGTATCATCCTGGGCCAACTGCTTCTTCCCTCATAAGTTTTTTTCTTTCTTTTTTTTTTTTAAGACAGTCTCGCTCTGTAACCAAGCCTGGAGTACAGTGGTGTAATCTCAGCTCACTGCAACATCCACCTCCAGAGTTCAAGCCATTCCCCTGCCTCAGCCTCCTGAGTAGCTGAGATTACAGGTGTGTGCCTCCACACCTGGCTAATTTTTATATTTTCAGTAGAAATGGGGTTTTTCCATATTGGACAGGCCGGTCTCACACTCCTGGCCTCAGGTAATCCACCCGTCTCAGCCTCCCAAAGTGCTGGGATTACAGGTGTGAGCCGCTGCACCCAGGCTGCATTTTCTGAACTGTTTTTGATTAGTGGCTCTTTAAAAACTACAATCAAGGCCAGGTGTAGTGGCTCACGCCTGCAATCCCAGCACTTTGGGAGGTTGAGGCAGGTGGATCACTTGAGGTCAGGAATTCGAGACCAGCCTGACCAGTACGGCAAAGCCCCATCTCTACAAAAAATACAAAAATTAGCTGGGCATGGTCATGTGTGCCTGTAATCCCAGCTACTCAGGAGGCTGAGGGAGAACGGCTTAAACCCAGGAGGCAGAGGTTGCAGTGAGCCGAGATTGTGCCACGGCACTCCAGCCTGGGCAACAGAACAAGACACCATCACAAAAAAATTTTTAAATGACAACCAAAACAGTTCGAAATGAGCGTCAAGGGAGTGGGCAGTGGAGCCGCCGCTCAGCTTAGTTTTCTCCACGCTGGGATTTCCTTTCCTCCCTGCAGGAGGGCTTAGAGGAAAAGATTTCCAAAGCAGCTCCAGTTTCTGCAGAACCCATGAGGTGGGACTCCTGTGACTGGGAAGAGAGGTTTCCAACCCATCCTGAGAAACAAGGGCCCCACCTGCTCAGCCCGCCTCCCCGTCCACCTGTCCTCCCTAAGGTCTCTGTGGACTTCCTGTGGCCACTCTGTGACGATGTCAACACAGAAACAAAAACCCATCCCCACTGTAAGGGTTATTCTCTGTAAGGTTTATTGCTGAGCTTAAAATGAGGAAACTGAGGCCTGCATGAGAACAATTACACGCCAACTTATTTGGCTCCTGGGCAAGTTTCTATGGTCCAGGGAAGTCGCACCTGACTCCTCTCAGGTGTGGAGTTACATAGGGAGGGAAGGCGCTCTGATTGGCTGTGGAGAAACATGACGTGGAGGTTGCAAGCTGCTATAGGTAGGTAGGCGGGACTTCTGGTGAGTGGGCTGGACAGGGCAATGCGCTATTGGGCAGGTTTTGGTGGGGCTTCTTTTAAATTTTGGCGGGGTTTTCCAACAGCTGGCTAGGTGCCGAGTGCAGAGTTCAGCGTGGAGTGCAGATCCTGGTGCTGAGTGCAGAGGGGATTTCCAAGGCGGGTTAGGTGCCCAGTGCAGAGTTTAGTGTGGATGGTGCTGAGTGCAGAGGGGATTTCCAAGGGCAGACTAGGTGTCTAGTGCAGACTGTAGTGTGGAGTGCAGAGGTAGGTGTGGGGAAACTAGATGCTGAGTGCAGATTCTGGTGACAGTAATTTGTAGGCATGGGGGATGGGCGTGTCCGAGCTCCCGGCCTTACATGCACAGGTGGCACGAACCAAGAGGCAGTGGCTTCCAGTGGCAAAGTGGCTCGGAGAGGAGCAGGGGGGCACTCTGTGGGCACGGGTCCAGCTGCCCAGGGGTCCCCACTTGCCGTGGGTCAGTTCCCCGTGAGCCAGGACCTGCAGGGTCTTGGGTGGCCGGGTTCCTGCCCTGTCCGTCCAAGACACGACATGAAGCTGATGCCTCCTCAGGGTCTCCTTCTCCCCACCACAGTGCACCCACTCTGGACGGGCCCAGTCTCCGTGCCGGGGGGCACCCGGCAGTCCCCCATCAACATCCGCTGGAGGGACACTGTCTACGACCCGAGGCTGAAGCCGCTCACGGTCTCCTATGTCGCGGCATCCTGCCTGTACGTCTGGAACTCCGGCTACCTCTTCCAGGTGGAGTTTGACGATAGCACCAAGGCGTCGGGTGAGTGCCAGTCGGGGCTCGGGGCTTTCTCCTCTCCGGTGTTCTGGAAGCAGGGTCAGGGGCTTCTCGGAGAATGGGGGAGAGAGCAGGGAATGCCGCTTCCTTTGTGCTGCTTGGGGCAGGGACAGAGTCGCTTCGGGGAGGACACAGCAGGGGGACGGTGGGAACTTTACAGATGACAGCGCCGGCACCTGCACGCACACAGGTGCATCGAGCAAAGGAAAAGCTTTTCCCACGGGGCTCGTACCGCAGCCAGCGGGAGAGAGAGATGCTCATAGAAACCCGAAGGTCTTGCATGTCGGAAGAGGAACTCAGGACGGGGTGGAGGACAGAAGGCAGTGGTGGCTGAGACGTCCACTCTGGCCTTGATAATCTAGGCAGAGACCTGGAAGCAAATTGGGCTCACAGCAGGGCAGGGGCGTCGGGAGCCTGGAGATGAGACCACCGCTGGTTTGAGCTGGCTGACCTTTTGTTTTATTTATATTTATTGAGGCAGAGTCTTGGTCTGTCACCCAGGCTGGAGTACAGTGGTGCCATCTTGGCTCACTGCAACCTCTGTCTCCCAGGTTCGAGTGATTCTTCTGCCTCAGCCTCCCAAGTAGCTAGGACTACAGGAGCATGCTGCCATGTCCAGCTAATTTTGTGTTTTTAGTAGAGATGGGGTTTTGCCGTGTTGGCCATGAGGGTCGTGATCTCTCGACCTTGTGATCTGCTTGCCTCGGCCTCCCAAAGTGCTGGGATTGCAGGCGTGAGCCACACTGCACACCCTGGCTGACCTTTTAAATGGACCCTGCAGCTGCTGTGAGGACAGACTGGGAGGCACCTGGCAGGGAGCAGAATTACACAGGACGCTGTGCGGGGAGATGCGGGTGGGAGGCGGTGGTGGAAGGCTGGGGTGCGCTAGGAGGTCCGGGAAGCCACCAAGTTCCTACTGGGTCCCCGCGCTGGGCCAAGGGCTCATCCCCTCAAATCTGCACCACGATCCTCCGAAGTTCCAGGTGGATGCTCTGAGGTGCGGGAGGGAACCTCCAGGCCTCGCGTGTTTGCATTTTTATCGGGACTGGCTGCTATGTCCTATGTCATGTTTTCCCAGCACAGCTGGTGTCACTGTAAGCCTCGTTCATGCTGAACACCTGCTCCCTTTCCTGCTGCAGATCTGGAGTTGGGGCACATGCTGGGTATCAGGTGCCTCTGTGAACAGCCCCCAATAAACCCCTGGGCACTGAGTCGCTAGTGAGCTGCCGTGGTACAGAACACGCCACACGTGCTGTCACTGCTGGTGTCGGGGACAATTCAGCCTGTCCTGTGTGTGTCCTCTGCTGAGGACTCCAGACAGTCTAGGCACCTCTTCCCACGGCTGATCTCACGCTGCTTCCTTTTGCTGAATGTGGCTCAGCGCTGGGCTGGTGACTCTTCCTGTGGAATCATCAAGCCTGGGGGCCCCAACGCAGCCCCCACCCCAGTCCCCCGGCCACCCCCATTTGCCTCCTCCCTGGTGGGTCCCAGGCGCCTGGGGATCTTGTTCACTCACTGTTTCTCCCACAACAATGTCATTCCACTGGGCAGGTCTTTGTCTTGTCTGATATTTTATGCCAGGCATCCTAAGCTCTCAGCTAGAGGGATGAACAGAGTTAAAGGCATAAATGAGCCTCCCTTTCTTCCTCTGTAACGGGATAGAAGGGACAGCCACTGCAAAGGCTTTGGGGAGAGAAGCCAGGCCAGCGCTCAGCACCCTATCTCCACGGAAACTCCACGTGGCTGCCAGCATGCCAGCCCTTCTTCCACGAGCCTCATCCAGGCAAGACCACCAACAGTGTAACGGTGCCCCCACGCTCACCTTCATGCCCTCTCTACCATCCACCTTCCTGACATCAAGCACACTCTCCGGGGCCTTCCCCAGCTCCTGCTGTCACGGGAGGTCCACCCAGCCATGTCCTGGCTTCATCATGACATGGTGCTTGCATTTCAGCCACTTAAGTCTTCATATGCCTAGAAATTCTCAACACAGGGGACCTCAGTGAGCAGGCACACTGCCCGTGGATGTGCGCCCTGAGCCGTGTGTGCAGGCCTTCCTGGAACCCGGGGAGAAGGGCCCCATGGGCAGCGGAGGCCGGCCTGAGCCTGCTTCTGCCTCTAAGCGTGAGCGGCTTCTCTGCGCCAGGCCCTACGCAGCGCATCGCAAACACCCCGGCTCCATCCTTCCGGGTATCTCTCTCTCCTCTCAAAGGTGAGGAGGAGCCACGCTGCCCATGCACGCAGTGCCATTCACAGCTGCTTCGTCCGGCTCCACCGCAACCCCACAGAAGCTTCCGGTGTGGGGCTCGCTGGGTGCCAGCAGCTGTAACCCCAACTCCAGCCAACATAAGCAAAGTGGAACTTCATGGAAGAACAAAACCAGCTCGGAGAAGAGAAGGGGAAGTTGGACAATTAGATCCTGGGAGGCCAGCCAGCTTCGGAGACCAGGGATCGGAATTTCTGCGTTTATTTATTTCATTGCCAGTGGTTTTTCTTCCCTTGCTGGTCCATTCCAAGTTCAAATTCCCAGGAAGTAACTAAGACTGACATCTCAGGTTTAACGTGGTTATAGTATTTAAAAATTCTTCATGCAGCCACTTCAAAATATTGAACAATGAATAACAGTTCCTGAACTTTCAACTGTTTGGATTAATAGTTGTGTGAATATATTCGCAGTTCTGAGAACAACAGTTGCTATGGATATCTATAAGCGCTATGGGATTCATATTCCTGCTGTATAATTTTTATATGTGGCTATGGGTCTCACTGGTATTTTAATAACAGATTTGTTTTCCTCCAAGTCGTAAAGTACAAAAACTTTGAAGGTTATTTTGGACTTTTGTTGGTTATTTTACAAAATAGATTCCCAAGGCAAAGGGTTTGGTGGCTGAGCCTGAGCCGACACCCAGCCCTCAGTGTGGTGGGGCATCAGGTACCTGGCTAAAATTGTCACCAAGACCACACACAGTGAGGAGCAGGGGGTCTCAGGAATCCTGATACTGCTCCTAGAAGGAGGAAGGTATGTGGACAGACCCTCTTTAAAAGCACTGCCAGGCTGGGCACAGTGGCTCACACCTGTATTCCCAGCACTTTGGGACGCCGAAGCGGGTGGATCACCTGAGGTCAGGAGTTCAAGACCAGCCTGGCTAACGTGGTAAAACCGTGTCTCCACTAAAAATACAAAAACTAGCTGGGTGTAGTGGCACACACCTGTGGTCCCAGTTACTCAGGAGGCTGAGGAGGAAGAATCACTTGAACCTGGGAGGCAGAGGTTGCAATGGGCTGAGATCGCACAGCTGCACTCTTGCCTGGGTGACAGAGCAAGACTGTGTCTAAAAAAAAAAAAATAATAATAATGACCACTGATGAATAGCAGCATGGAACAAGACAGAAGCCACTAGAGAGAGTATTGCAGAACACGTATTTTCAGCAAGAAGAAACGGAGGCTGAGAGAAGGGGCGACTGCCAAGGGGGAGTGACCCAGTGCAGGAGCTGGCTTCCGTTCTGATGCCTGCGGACTCTAAGCCGTTGCCAGCTCACTTCTCCTCGCCAAGGGCTTCACTTGCACAACAACAGTTTTCCTTTCAACAGTTGTGGGAGGCACAAACCAGGCCCATTTTACAGATGAGAAAATGAGGCTTGAGAAACTCCTTGGCCGGAGGCCACAGAGGCCTCCCAATGGGACTCCTTGCTCTGCAGAGAGGAGAATCTGGGGAGTGGGCACCCTTTATAGAAAGAATCTGCACCCAACATCCACAAAAACCCAGCAGGAGCCCATGGGAGCTGACCTCTACACAGAGAGGGAGCACCAGCACCTGGGGCAAGCGAGGTCCCCAGGAGAGCCGACTGGTCCCCAGGAGAGCCGGCAGCTGCCCCAAGGCCCAGATGAGCCTCTGGCTCAAGTCCAGCAGAGGCTGTGTCCAGTGGGCCTTGAGGTCTGCACAGGAGGCCTGCCCCTCACCCCCCAGGGCAAGAGCTTCGGCCCTGTTGACAGTGGTGCAGGAACGTCTCTATGGTGCTTTGCGGGCACACTTGTGATTTTTTGTTTAGCTAGTGACAGCATGTGTGCCTTGGAATCTAGATGCTTCTGTATCCCCAAGGGAACTCAGGCTCAGGTTTTGGGCTGGAAAACAAGACCGCTGCAGATAGTGATTACCACCCAGGACCACAAGTCAAAGCCTGATTTTGATCAAGTATCTCAACCTGTGTGCCTGCTTGTGTGGCACCCCCTCCACTAGGAATAGCCTTGCAATTTCTCTTGGGACCGCCCCTTCCCCACCGCACCTGGTCCTGCCGAGGATATTATTCACAGCAGTGGATAAAAGGCTAATTTTAGTGGGGGGCTGACAGTTCTCACACATCAGAGGGCATGGACATCCCCTGGAGAGTGTGTGAGAGCACAGACTCCTGTCACCCCGGCGGCTCACACCTGTAACCCTAGCACTGTGATAGGCCAAGGCGGAAGGATAACAAGACCCCATCTCTTCAAAAAAGTAAAAAAATTAGCCGCACCTGGTGGTGCACGCCTGTGGTCCCAGCGACTTGGGAGGCTGAGACAGGAGGCTTGCTTTAAGCCCAGGAGGTTGAGGCTGCAGTGAGCTGTGATTGTGCCACTGCACTCCAGCCTGGGCAACACAGCCAGAGCCTGTCTCCAAAAAAAAAAACATGAAAAACAAGCCTGTGCTTCCTCCAGACCTTCTAATTTGGCAGGAGCAAGGCAGAACCAAGAATCTCATGCCAGCAGACTCCCAGGTGCCACTGATCCCGACAGTCCGTGGCTTTGCACGGGCACCTGCGGGCTCCACCTCGGTCCTCCTGCCTGCTGGGCCCAGCGTTTTCCTTGGGAGCCCATCCTCCGACTCCCACTGCTGAGGTCCAGACGCAGGAGTGGGTGGGGAGCTGGGCGTGGCCATGCAGAACAGCCCTGTCAGTGGCTGCAGCGATTGGGCCAGGCATGGGCACGTGACTCAAGACCAGCCAATGAG